GCTGGGTGGTGTCAGTTCTCTGACTTAGTTTTTCAATACTGTGTTGGCTATTCTGGGTCTCCCGTCTTTCCATATATAAACTTTATAATCAGTTTACTGATATCCACAAAATAACTTGCTGGGATTTTGATTGGGAATGCATTGAACCTACATATTAAGTAGGGATAAGCCTACAGATCAAGATGGGAAGAACTGACATCTTGACAACACTGCGTATATCTTGTAGACATAATGAGCTATGTGATGCTGGGCAAATTTCCTAACTCTGAACTTCCATTTCTACTAAGTGATAGAGGATACGTCCATCTACCATTACAGAATGATTCTAAGAAACAAAACAATTTATGTGTTGTTATAAGCCTAAATGAAAAAATGTTAATGAATGAATGAATAAAAATAAATGAATAAGTACTTGTTCCCTTCCCTTTTCTTTAAACAACCTACAGAAACATGAGAAAATCCACATTATGTTTTGATGGCAGGGAAAATTACCTGGAAGTCAATTACTCAAATTAGAGAATTTTTAAAAATTAGGGAATTAATTTAGAAATAATAAGGTCCAAAGACAGCTATGTTTCACCCTTCCTGTGGTATGTGATGATGTCTACATAGAGCAGTAGCAATCCACAAACAAACAGGTATTTTATGATATTGATGTATAGTGAAGGCTGAGATTCTTTAACATAGACAAATTAGTTAAAAATAACTGTGAGCCAGGCGGGGTAGCTCACGCCTGTAATCCCAGAACTTTGGGAAGCCAAGGCGGGAGGATCACCTGAGGTTGGGAGTTCGCGACCAGCCTGACCAACATGGAGAAACCCTGTTTCTACTAAAAATACAAGATCAGCCAGGTGTGGTGGCACATCCCTGTAATCCCAGCTACTCAGGAGGCTGAGGCAGGAGAATCACTTAAACCCGGGAGGCAGAGGTTGTGGTTAGCCGAGATTGCACCATTGCACTCCAGCCTGCCCAACAAGAGCAAGACTCCATTTCAAAACAAAAATAAATAAAAATAAAAATAAAAATACCTGTGAATAGGCCAGGTGTGGTGGCTCACATTCTGTAATCCCAGCACTTTGGGAGGCCAAGGCAGGTGTATCACCTGAGGTCAGGAGTTTGAGACCAGCCTGGCCAACATTGCAAAATCCCATCTCTACTAAAAATACAAAAGTTAGCTGGGTGTGGTGGCATGCACCTGTAATCCCAGCTACTTGGGAGGCTGAGGTGGGAGAATCACTTGAACCAGGGAGATGGAGTCTGCAGTGAGCTGAGATTGCACCACTGCACTCCAGCCTGGGCGACAGAGTGAGACTCTGTCTCAAAAAACAAAACAAAACAAAAAAATCCTGTGAATAAATAATTGATTAGGCCAGGCGTGTGGGCTCACGCCTGTAATCCCAACACTTTAGGAGGTTGAGGTGGGTGAATTGCTTGATCTTAGGAATACCAGACCAGCCTGAGCAACATGATGAAACGCCATCTCTACAAAAAATACAAAAAATTAGCTGGGCATGGGCGGTGTGCACCTGTAGTCCCAGTTACTAGGAAAGCTGGCTTGAACCCAAGAGGTCAAGGTTGCAGTGAGCTGAGATCACGCCATTGCACACTCCAGCCTGGGTGACAGGGTGAGACCCTGTCTCAAAAACAAAATCAAAAACACAAAAAATAATTGATCAGCTTATTCACTTTTCTCATATCAAGGGTCTATTCCAAGTTAACTGTATACAAGGGATATGGCACAGTCTATTTACTCAGGAAATTATGACTGATCGCTCCTATGGCCAAATTCAATCATACTTTGTAGTAAACTTCCTACAAATGTCACAAGTAGGATTCACCAATGGAAGTCTTCTTCAAAATGCTACGTTATAACAGGCAAAATATTTACTAATTGAAATTTTGAATTAATGTGCTTTGTATTCAAAGTTACAAATTAGCCAGAAAATATGCAGGTAGCTCATGTTCAAATCTGAAAAAGGGACATTCATGAGCTGAATAACAGCATGCTGACCCCCAGAATCTACATAGTCCTCATCTCAAATCACCTCACAGCACCTAAAAGAATTAAAAAAGTATAGGAAAAGTTACTACATGGGGCCGGGCATGGTGGCTCACGCCTATAATCCCAGCACTTTGGGAGGCCGATATAGGCAGATTAACTGAGGTCAGGAGTTCAAGACCAGCCTGGCCAACATGGTGAAACCCAGTCTCCACTAAAAAATACAAAATCTAGCCAGGCGTGGTGGCACGCGCCTGTAGTCCCAGCTACTCAGGAGGCTAAGGCAGGAGATTACTTGAATCCAGGAAGGTTGCAGTGGGCCGAGACTGCGCCACTGTACTCCAGCCTGGGCGATAGACTGAGACTGCATCTCAAAAAAAAAAAAAACATGGGTCGGGTGCAGCGGTTCACATCCGTAATCCCAGCACTTTGGGAGGCCGAGGTGGGTGGATCACTTGAGGTCAGGAGTTTGAGACCAGCCTGGCCAAACTGGAGAAACCCCGTCTCTACTGAAAACACTAAAATTACCTGGGAGTGGTGGCACATGCCTTTAATCCCAGCTACTAGAGGGGCTGAAGCAGAAGAATCACTTGAACCCGAGAGACAGGGGGTTCCAGTGAGCCAAGATCATGCCACTGCACTCCAGCCTGGGCAACAAGAACGAAACTGTCTCGAAAAAAAATTCAGATAAGTAAATGCTTACCATATTTAAACATGAATTTTAAAAATACCTTGCATATACAAAAATCTGTGTTCAATCCTTTAAGACTGGGCTTAGTTTTTATACCTTGAATTAAAATTTTCAAGAGGCATTCCAAAAAATTAGAGACTTTATTTGTACTTATTGTTAATGAATACTTACATGTTTACTTATATTTGTACCTATGCATATACTCATCTGATTTATAACTAACTCCATTTAAAGGTTACAATCTTTGACATAGTCCAAACAAAACACATGAAAACATGCTCAAGGACATACATTTACTACTATAATTCCCACAAATTTTGCATCCCAAACCCTATACTTAACGAAAGACATGAACAAGTAATATAGTAATTTATTTTTCTGGTTAATAGTAGCAAGTTGGCCAGGCACAGTGGCTCCCGTCTGTAATCCCAGCACTTCAAGAGACTGAAGTGGGAGGAGCGCTTGAAGCCAGGAGTTTGACACCAGCATAAGCAATATAGCAAGACCCTGTCTCTACTTAAAAAAAAAAAAAAAAAAAAAAATTTTAAATTAAAAATTAGGGCATGGTAGCATGCGCCTGTAGTCCTAGGTACTTGGGAGGATGAAGCAGGAAGACTGCTTGAACCCAGGAGTTTGAAGCTACAGTGAGCTACGATCTCACCACTGCACTCCAGCCTAGGCAACAGAACAAGATTCCATCTCTTTTAAAAAAAAAAAAAAAAAAGTGAGAGATGTATCAAAAGACTTATACAGGAGCATGTCATGCTTCATTCACTCACTTAAAAATTACTCTGTCAGACAATGTGCTAGTTAGATGACCTTGTACAAAGCCAATTAACCTTCCTGAGTCTCAGGTTTTTCCTTGTTAAATTAGAATTACAACACTCTTCCAGAACTGACCAAAATGCATATAAAGCACTTAGCACAGTGCCTGATCATAGTCAATTCTCAAATGCTAGTTATAGCTATAATAGTTAATGTCAGGTAAAATGAGAACTTAAAAAGTTTCTGAAAGAACTTATCGACACTGGTGTTTCAGGAGCAAAGTAAAAGAAGTAGGTAAGAGTGATCTCAGATTTCTTTTTTTAACATTATGGTACTGTTCACTAAAAATAGGAAACCAAGGAAGACACAAGACAGGCGGGAGAAAGCATTTTGAAGTCTGAGATGCCTAAAAGGGACCAGAATGGAGAAATAATGATTTAGAATAGTCATTGTGGAGAACAGAAGAGGCTGCTGAGCTAAAACATGTAAAAGAACTTTTAATCGGTTGCAGACTCAGCTGAGATTTTAAATTCCTAGCTACATGTTTGTGTGATTTTTCTCCAACAGCACCCAGCTGACACAGATCAACTGTCTGAATTTTAGGTGGTTACGGCGTTTCTTTATTGTGTGTGCCAAAGGGAATGAATGTTAAAGTACAGAATGGATTTTTCCAAGTAAACAAAAGTAGGGACCAGATGCGGTGGCTCACGCCTGTAATCCCAACACTTTGGGAGGCTGAGGCGGGTCGATCACCTGAGGTCAGGAGTTCGAGACCAGCCTGAACAACATGGTGAAACCCCGTCACTACTAAAAATACAAAATTAGCCGGGCATGGTGGCGCATGCCTGTAATCCCAGCTACTTGGGAGGCTAAGGCAGGAGAATCACTTGAACCTGGGAGACTTCAGTGAGCTGAGATCGCACCATTGCACTGCAGCCTGGGCAACAAGAGGGAAACTTCGTCTCAAAAAAAAAAAAAAAAAAAAGAGGCAGGGGGCGGGGGGAATGTATAAATGACTGAATGAGAGTTAGCATCCATTGCTCTTCAGCAGCTGCATAGTGTTAACTAGGTAAATTTCAGTTTTGAAAATTCTAACATCATTGTTGAACTAGATTGTTTAGATGAGTACTATACCACAGTATGACTAGAAGGAAAAAAGGATGAAAGAAAAGTTATTTCAGCCAGGCGTGGTGGCTCGTGCCTGTAATTCCAGCACTTTGAGGGGCTAGGGCAGGCAGATCACCTGAGGTCAGGAGTTCAAGACCAGCCTGGCCAACATGGTGAAACCCTGTCTCTACCAAAGACATAAAAATTAGCTAGGCATGGTGGTGGGCGCCTGTAATCCCAGCTACTCAGGAGGCTGAGGCAGGAGAATCGCTTGAACATGGGTGGTGGAGGTTGCAGTGAGCTGAGATCGAGCCACTGAACTCCAGCCTGGGCGAGAGAGCGAAACTCCATCTCAAAAAAAAAAAAAAAAAAGTTGTTTCAATGGAATATCAGTGGGCAATTTGCCAAATAATTTAAAAATTAATAAAAATCACTTACCCGTTTTGAAAAGAACAGCTTTGTGTTTCCGAATCATCACTATCACTGATGATAATAGTTTCTCCATCCACACTGTTAACATGTCCATTAGCAAAACCATTTTGATGTGATGGAGGGAGGACTTCCAAAATCCTACACTGCAACCTGAAATAAAATGATACATTTAAAAATGCAAATCATTTGATATTTTACAGCCAAACATTTCAGAGCAACCGATTTGTTTTGAACCAGTTATTTTGTTTTGCAGAGTCTATTAGCTGAGTGATTTAAACAATTTAATTGAAAATCTGTGGGGCCAGGCTCGGTGGCTCATGCCTGTAATCCCAGCACTTTGGGAGGCTGAGGCGGGCGGATCACGAGGTCAAGAGATCGAGACCATCCTGGCTAACACAGTGAAACTCCTTCTCTACTAAAAAGACAAAAAATTAGCCAGGCGTTGTGGCGGGCACCTGTAATCCCAGTTACTTGGGAGGCTGAGGCAGGAGAATGGTGTGAACCCAGTAGGCGGAGCCTGCAGTGAGCCGAGGTCACGCCACTGCACTCCAGTCTGGGAGACAGAGCGAGACTCCATCTCAAAAAAAAAAAAAGAAAGAAAATCTGTAACATTTAATTTAAGCAAATATTAGACATAATTTAAAGCTGTAAAACTATTTTAAAACACAATTTATCAAGATTATACAAAATTATCTGATTTCCTTCCTTCTGCTAGCTCTGGATTGTTTGTTGTTCTTCTAGTTCCTTAGGTTGTAAAGTTAGGTTGCTGATGTGAGATCTTTCTTGTATTTTAATATAAGGATTTACAGCTAAAAACTCCCCCCTTAGCACTGCTTTTGCTGTATCCCATAAATTTTGGTATATTTTTGTTTTCATTCATCTCTAAGTTATTTTCTAATTTTCCTTAGGATTTCTTCTTTGCTCCACTGGTTGTTTAAGAGCGTGTTTTAAATTTTCATAAATTTGTGAATTTTCCAGTTTTCTTTTGTTAATGATTGCTACATTCATGTTGTTGTGGTCAGAGAAGATACTTTGCATGAGCTTGTGATGCTTAATTTTAGGTGTCAACTTGACTGCAAAAGCAGATAGTCGCTAAAGTATTATTGCTGAGTGTGTCTATGAGGGCGTTTCCAGAGAACAGTGGTGTGTGAGTCAGTGGACTGAGTCGGGGAAGATTCTCCCTCAATGTGAGCAGGCACCATCCAATGAACCGGGGGCCCAGACAGAACAAAAAGGCAGAGAAAAGACAAGTTCATTCTGATTCCTGGAGCTGGGACATCTCTCTTCTCCTGCCTTTGGACATCAGCAACTCCAGGTCCTCCAGCCTTTGGATTTTGGGACTTGTACCAGTGTCCCCTCCTCCATACTCTCTCCCCATCCCTTCTTCTATCTCTCTCTCTCGATATGTATCTCCTGTTGGTTCTGTCTATCTGGAAAACTCTGTCTAACACAGATATATACCTTCTAAAATCCAACGAGACTAAATTTGTGACCTAGCATAAAGTTTATCCTGGAGAATATGCCATGTGCACTTGAGAAGAATGCGTATTGTTGTTGGGTTGAGTGTTCTGTTTATGTCTGTTACATCTAGTTGATTTACTGCATGGTTCAGATTCTCTACTTCTTAACTTCTGCCAGGTTGTTCCATCCATTATGGAAGGTGGAGTACTGAAGTCTCTAGCTATTATTGTGAAAATGTCTGTTTCTCTTAGCAGTTATATTCCTAACTAAAGTTAACTGTTTAGAAAGTCATATATTGGCACAGTATCTTATTTTACAGATTTGGGGCCTTATAATTTTTGAAAGTATCCAATATTTTAAATTCTAAAATTCTTCAGACTATAACCTTTTTATTCTCACGAATTTTGTTGTGACTTCTGATCTCTGGAAAGCTTCCTATTCACTAACTCTATCACCCCTATTCTGGCTTCCTTTACTCTGCATACTATATCTGGATTTTATGGGCCATGATTTTAGACTCATTCAATCACAATTAAAATATTCCTTAATCCCATCTCTATTGTGCCAATTTTCAATGTAGAAAAGACAGCACCTGTTTTCTCTCCACACTCACTCTTGTCTCAAATTCTTTACTTCCTGCCTTGAAATCATGAGTCTCCTATGAATTCAAGGTTAGGATCTCACTGTTATGGTTGAGATAACTTTTGTTCGTTCTCAAAACAGATTTCCAAAACTTTCTCCTTTCCTCAAGTCCCAGTCTCAGTGCTTTAACATTAGAAAATGAAAGAAGAGATCTTGACTTAGGCTCTTTGACTTCCTTCTCAACATCAAATGTCCATATCCTTTATAACTGTTCCAGCCTGTAACCTCTTCTCTTATCCCGCTGCATTGTTTCTCCTCCTGTGTATCTTCAGTTTTCCTCTGCTAAGAAACATACTCTTCAATATCCCAGAAAGTTTACATCTATCTCTAGCTTTCTAGAGACTCCAGGGTATGGTCTCTTCTCACTCCCTAGAGGGACCTGGCATTGCTGAAGCCCAAGTAGATTCCAAGAACAAAAACAGTCCAATTTTTATAAATATCCCCTTATATGGAAGCATAGTGATTGCCAAAGCAAGGGGAAGGCCAAGCAAAGATAATCTGCATCTGTACCTGTTCTGTAGACATTTTGCTTCTTGTAAAGACCATTTACACGCCTGTAATCCCAGCACTTGGAGACGGTGAGAAAGGCAGATCAATTGCTTGAGGCCAGGATTTCAAGACCAGCTTGGCCAACATGGCAAAACCCCGTCTCTACTAAAAATACAAAAATTAGCTGGGTGTGGTGGCACGCACCTGTAATCCCATCTACTTGGGAGGCTGAGGCACAAGAAGTGCTTGAACCCGGGAGGCAGAAGTTGCAGTGAGCCGAGATCATGCCACTGCACTCCAGCCTGGGCAACAGAGTGAGACTCTGTCTTAAAAAAATTTTTAAAAAGCCAGGCGTGGTGGTGCTGCACACTGGTAATACCGGCTATTCAGATCCTACAACTGCATGCACCCCAGCTTGGGTGACAGAGGGAGACTATCAAAAAAACAAAACAAAACAAAACAAACAAAAAAAACATTTCACTGGCTAAAAAATAAATTAATAGCAACTTCCTATCAATTTATAATCTGCTCTTTAATGTACCCTCTTCTCCCAGCACTTATTCACCCATCAGTGAAGTCTTCTCTCCTTCCATTTACTGTCATGTGGTTCAAAAGTGTGACTTAGATTGTCTCTCCACTTCCCTACCCTTCTTACAATTTTGGTCGTCATGTAAAAAACTTATCCCAAGAAAGTCACAGTAATCTAACTATTGGTCAACAAATCCAAAGTCTTGTCTTAGTTGTCTTAATCTTCTGTAAACCATTATCCACCCCCTTACTAAAAAATTCCACCTCTATTTTTATGGTACAAAATCTTCCCTATTCATCATCTAACCTACCTCCCTGACTATATTTTTTTCTGTCTTTGCCTGCTTCTTTATCTCCTCATACTACCAAAATATACACTGATTTCCCCAAAGTGCTACTGCGTATCTCTTGGTTGGTATATACTTTCCCTTGGTGATTCATCTCAGCTCTAGATAACTGATTGTCTGACTCTCAACTTCTAGAAATGTGGTCAAAAAAATCCATTTCTTCTCCAGAGGGAGTTTATGTAACCAATGAGGTTTCATCTGTATTAAGAGAGTCACAGTAATAGTGTTGGTGAGGATGTAGAACCACCTTGAAAAACAGTATGACAGCTCCTCAAAGATTTACCATATGACCCTGTAATTCCACTTTTAGCTATATACCTGAGAGACATGAAACACATGTCCACACAAACTTGAACATAAATGTTCAAAACAGCATTACTCCTAAGAGCCAAAAATTATAAACAATCCAAATACCCATCAACTGATCATTAAAATGTGTTATATACCATACAATAAAATACTATCCAGCAAAAAAAAAACAGGAATGAAGTACTGATACATGGTATAATATTTATGAATCTTGAAAACATTATGCTAATGAAAGGGGCCAGACACAAAAGACCACCTATCGTAGGAATCCATTTATATGAAATATCCAGAAAGGCAAATCTCTAGAGAGAAGATAGACAAAGTAGGTACCAGAAACTTGGTGGCAGGGGGTGGGGCGGGCAGTGTAAGGGGACAGGAGGGCCATGGGCAGTGACTGCTAATGGGCAAAGCTTTCTTTCTGAGATTTTGAAAATGTTTGAAAATTAAAGCTACATTTTAAATGGGTGAATTTTATGGTATGTGAAATATATCTCAATGAAGTCATTAAAAAATAGTTGCAAAATATAGTAGGGAGTAAATATAAAGGAGAGAGAGCATTGCTGGGATTATATTTATCGTATCTCTAAACTCCTTTTTTTTGAGTCTCGCTCTGTCCCCCAGGCAACGTGCAATCTCAGCTCACTGCAACCGCTGCCTCCAGGGTTCAACTGATTCTCCCACCTCAGCATCCCAAGTAGCTGGGACTACAGGCACGCGCCACCATGCCCAGCTAATATTTTGTATTTTTAGTAGAGATGGGGTTTCTCCATGTTGGCCAGGCTGGAGCTGCTATAACTCTTATGTAACCCTGGGGAAGGTTTTATTAACTACAAATATTCTAAGCACATAAATACCTACCATTGGGCTAAATCTCTATTCTCTGAGAAAAAGTGGTTCAAGATTAGATACTGTGCTGTCTGTATCATTCATTTGGTTATCCCATACCATTAACAAATTTTGATATACTGTGGGCATCCTGTCTCATTTACCAACTCTATTCTCCTAGGAACTTTATTCTTCCCATGTTCTACCATCTTCCAAATGGCTAATAGAGCTGCCATGTTCTCCCAAACTAGTGGCCAGAGTTAGTTGATACAGGGTAGGCTCTACTTTGCTGAGCTCGTATATCTTTTCTAAGATTTTTAAACTTGGAATCTAGAAGGTAAAAATCAGTCCTTGTCTCCCATCATGAAAGTTGTAAGACAAAATTCTGGTGCTGTCGGCAGTCATATATCATGGAGGAGACAGTGTGCAGTGAGAGGTGGTAAAATCTATAAGACAGAAGAGATGGCAAGGGTACTAGAGGCAATTAGTTCTTTTATTCCTGTTCTTCCTCAGATTTAGCTGCACCTTGCCCATTCCAGGCTTAGCTGT